AAAGGAAAAAAGCACAATCATGTATATACCCCAGCTGCTCACGGGGACCTTGCCAGAGGGACAAACTTAGTCCGAAGGGAGGATGGTAAACCCCATATATACTTTCTCTGCACTTTCCAGTCCCTGGGCTCAAGATTACAGGCCTTGAAGGCAGAGACAACGAGGAAAGGGAGAGAAGAAACTGGGAGGTCTCAAAGCCTCACCCCAACACAGAAGGTATCTCTTGTGCCAAAATGCCACATTCTTTCTTACATGATCCAGAAACCCTACAGCCCTCCCACCCTCCTTCCTGCCTTTCATCTGTCCTTAAAATTTTCTCTTCCCCCGAGACTCTGAGATCAGAAGGGCTTGGGCTTGAGTCCCAGGCACACCACCTACACTCTGTTAGAGACTTGACATAAGCTGTTTCACATTCAAGAGCCTCAAGTTTCTCTATCCACAAAATAGAGCCATAACAACCTCACAGAGCTGTTGGGAGCCCTCACGGTCCTAAAGCATGGCAGGTGCTCAGTGCAGGGCCTGTATTGATAAAATGCAGATCATATCATAAAACCTGTCCCAGGCCCTTCAGCCCTGATTCTACTTCTAGCAGTGCCTTGACACCAGTCCGTAAAGTCATTAACCAGGGCAATATTGGACCTATGAGAATCCTTCCTAACAAGACACATCCATTACTCAGAGTTATAAATGCGGGGTTCATTTTGGGACCAGGTTACACAGCATCTTCCCTGTGAAGAGCTCATGCCCTGTATTAGATCTGCACCGGGGAGCACGGGGCCAGTCAGTACCCATCCATCCACACGCCTCTCCAGTGTCTGCGGGCATCCATCTCAAGTCAGGCAGCCTTCTCGATCACCTCCGATCCATCAGTCATCTGCTGGCACCCATCTTCTCTGTACCCATCCATCCATCCGCCTGCTGTACTTCACTCTCTAGGGCTCCAGACCCAGACGTTCCAGGCAAAGCATCAGCCCCACCTCAAAATAATGACATTCAGGGAGCACCAGGCAGGGCTTGAGCGAGGTGGGGCACACACTTCCTCCTCGCCCTCCCCAGAACAGGTGGAGATCATGATCCACCAGATCACGGCCATGGCAACAGCACTGAAAGCAGCTGCCCCACACCGGGCAAAGCCTAGGGTCACGGCCACTGCCCTTCAACTGTGTTATTCCGGGACCACTCACCTGCCTGCCTCTGCCTAAGCTGCTTCTCAGGGGCGCGTTGCCCCAGGGGCCTGAGGATTACACGTTTGTACATTCTTATCTCTTCCTGCTAACCTGCCATGGGCTACATTTCCCATTCACCTGCCAAGGGTGAGGCACTGTGACAGGCACCTGGGATGGGGAGGGCAGAGTTGGAAATGAGTAAGATAAGATCGCCACCCTTCAAGAGTTTACAGGGGAACTGGGGACAGAGCGAGGAAGGCCATCACCATCCACAGAGTCTCGTAAACTGCGTACAACCCCTCCTCCTTCCGGCTCCTTGCTCAGCACTGCTCTCAGGCGGTACCTGGACCCCACCCCCTTTTCCATTACAGAAATTGATAACTTCCATTATTCCAAAATAACTAGCCCCTTCCTGCCCCTGCCAACCTAATTTTTCTGTGTCTGCATTTGCCCACATGCTTCTCTTTGGACCCGAAATCTATAGGAATCAATCCAGGTAGGATGGGGTCTTTCATCTGACTAGGACACCCTGGCAGAATGAGAGCAGGATTTGGGTCAGACACTTAGGTCCAAGTCTTTGCTCTTAGCTGTGGGCGCTCGTCAAGTTACCTAGCCACGTGGAACATCAGTTTTCTCATCTGTAAAATAAGAATTCACATATAATCACCCACCAGAGTGTTAGAGAGCTAAATGGAATACTAATGTACACGAATGCTCCTGGCTTATATTAGGGAATCAGTGAACCCGTGGATAAATGTCTGTTTATTCTATGTAAGAATCGGAAATCTGGCTATAAATCTGTATCATGAGGCCACCGTATAATGAGGTCCTAGCGTCACTTCAGCAATAACAATATCTTAGATTGGAGAAACAGACTACTATTTATAAAGATGCATTGACATAATGCTCTCATTTTACAAATGATGAAGCTGAGACTCAGGATAGTTAAGTGAATTACTGAGGGTCCATGAACTGGTGCAGCCCTCTGATTGCCTTCATACTCTTCCGCCTCCTCTATCATCCCCGATTCGAAAGTGCAAGTCCCAGGGCAGCTCCAGGATGCTGCAGGCCGAGCTCAGCCATCCCAGATAGGCCCTTAAAACAACCTCTTAAGGGGAAGGGGTACGTCAAGGATCATGTATAAGGGGCCCATGGACAAGGATAATGCTGCTGGAGAGAACTGAATGTGGTGGGAGGGAGGGTGGGCAAAGCAGGGGAGAGCAATAGGGGAGAGCAATTGGGGAAAAATGGGGACAACTGTAATTGAACAACAATAAAAAAATTAGAAAAAAAAACAAAAACAAAAACAGCCTCTTAGAGGAAGAGCTGTGAGCTCAGCACAGTGCCCTGGGCGCTGCCAAAAAAATAAGTCTCCCACAGTCACCTGAGAAGGGTCAGGTGGGAACCTCAGAGGGCTAGACTCTGACAGGAAGGAAAGAAACTGACTACGGGACACCTGCGGTCAGTTTCGCACTGGTTCCTCTAAACCAGGTGTTCTCAACCTTTTGTGAGGTGGCAGGGTTGGGGGCGGGAGTCGCAAACCCTTCCGAGAATCTCCTGAAAGCCTTGGATTGTCTTCCCACACGGTTACGTCAATTTGCAGACAAGTGCAGAGGGGGTGGGTCGAGGTTAAGAGCCTCTGGTATTAAGCCTGCACTATTGTAGGATTCTCTCTCTTTTTTTTTAAGATTTTTTTTTAAGATTTTATTTATTTACATTTTTAGAGAGAGGGTAAGGGAGGGAGAAAGGGAAATATCAACGTGTGAGAGATATCTATCGATTGCCTCTCACATGCCCCCAACAATCAAACCTACAACCTTTTGACCTTTCGGTTTGCAGGCCTGCACTCAATCCATTGAGCCACACCAGCCAGGGCTGTTTCAGGATTTTGTTAGGCACTAAGGACCTTCTCTATTGGACATCCCACCCCTCGTCGTATCAAATATTTTCATATATATCCACAGCCCCCATTAAATTACATTCGCACACACATACATCAAATTGAATTGCAGCTGACTGACACGATGTTATATTTTGTAGATATGTAATAAAACATTTTCAATTTTGTGCTTTCTTTTCCTATTTTGGAGCCAATAAACCTTTTTGGTAAATTTTATTGAAATGTACCATATGTTCAGAAAAATACACATATCTTAAACGTACAGCTCGGTGAATTCTCACAGAGTGAGCACACCTGTGCAACTGGCCTCTGCTCAAGAAAGAGCCTCGTGGGCACCCAGGAGCCCACCAGGCCTCCTTCCGTTCATTGTGCCCTACGCCAGGGCAGCCGCTATCCCAATGCTAACGCTATAGATTAGTTTTGCCTGTATTCGAATTTTTTTATGAATGGAATTGCAGAGTTCATACTCATTTTGTGTCTGGCTGCTTTCATGAAACCCATAAACTTTTCATTCAGGTGTCAGACATTTTCAGAGGCCTGGGAAGAGCTCCTAGTCTCCAAGTACTGCTCAAACCAGGGGCTCTCCCCCTTGCCTTTCTTTTTCTTAATTTTTTATTTTTCAATTACAGTTGACATACAATGTTAGTTTCAGGTGTATAACCCAGGGATTGGACATTATTGTAATTTGCTAAGTGATCACGCTGATAAATCTAGTAGCCAGCTGACACCACACTTTTACACTAGAATCTCCAGGGGAACTTTGAAAAACCCTGCTGCCCAGGCTGCACCCCAGAACAGTGAAATCTGGGAATAGAACCAGGCATTGGCAGGTTTTCTGGCTCCCCAAGTAACATCGATTGCAGCCAAGCATGAGAAGCACTGGTCCAAGCAATTTTGTAAAGCAATAGTATCCCTATTTTGCAGCTGGGAAAACTGAGGCTCCAGGAGTCTCCACCACGTGCTACTCTCACGAAGCAGGAGCTCCAATTCAGATCTGACTTGGAGTGGCATTTGCACGGCCTTCATCCTTGGTGAATAGTAAAGCCCAAATCAGTGGGGGTCCTTCCTGCAGAGACCCTCCTCACTGTAAGTCCTTCTGGAGCTGCGGAGAAGGGAGGTGGGGTTTCCCAGGCTGCCACACCCATGCCCTGGCCCCAGCACACACCCACCACCCCCCTCCAGGGACTGGCTGTAGGGAGAGTTACCATCATCCTGACTCTACCTTTGACCCATGCCTCTGGAAGCCACAGTAAAGTCCTTGAAGGTAGGAGAAGCTGCTGGTTTGGGGGTCATGGGGAGTTTTCCACAGCTGAGTGACTCTGGCTCAGGCCACTGATTTCTGGGTGCAGTATACGATTCCGCCACTCGGGGGCACCACGAGCTTCTGTAAACGGTGATTTTCAACCACCGCCCCGCCCCACCCCACCCCTGCCACCCGCCGGCCCCCCCACCCCCACCTCCTTTGGCCAAAGGAATCCGGAAAGTGGAGTCCCCTGGCAATGAGGTGGGAGAAGCAGCCCAGAGCTGCTGGAGGTTCCTCTGCTCCCTGGGGCCTGACGAAGCCTGTCCTGTCCCCCCACCCAAGGCCACAGAGCCCCGTTTAGACTACAGCTTAGAAGATCTAGAATGTCGGCCGCCCTGCTAGACCACAAGCTCTGAGAAGACAGGGCCCACCCTGCAGTGTCGGGGCCTGCTGCCTCTTCCAGAACACACTTGGCCCCACCTGCTCTGCGTGAGGTGTGCGAGGGAGGCACTCCCCTTTCCTCCCTTCCCCTCCCCTCCATGATGCTGGAGCACAGAACTGGTCCTCTGTCACATGGGGAGAGAAAGTGCAGAGCCTCAAGCTGAGCATTTCCTTTTATTGGAAAAAGAAATAGTAAAACCAAAGGCCACCGCATCACCTGTGCCTAGCCATCCCAGTGGAGAAGCACCGGTCCGACACAAGGCCCAGTCACACAGTGGGCCAGGGTGGGCACAGGCCGGGCCCAGGGTCAGGGGGCTATGTGGAGCCCACCGGACTGCAGCTCTCTGGGGCGATTCTTGGATCAGGCAAAACTCGCTTGGGCGCAGGGGCTGGGACACCCTCTCCAGCTCTCTGGGCAGGCACCTCCTTCCCACACGCTGCTCCTGTGTCCAAAGAAAATCAGGTCCCTCTTTGGTTTCAGAAAGCTACCTGCAGTGGCTGGTCTTTCATTTCCACTTCTAGCACCTCCTGCCACCGAAGGCAGGCAACCTCCTTTTCTCCATCTTCAGGACACCAGGACACCAGGACGGGGCAGCTTCCTTCCCACTGAGCCTGGGCAGGCAGGGACTGGTGGGCTGGATGCCCCTCTTTCCTTTCAAGGAAGGGGTTTGCCTTTTCCCCTGCAGGCTGCCGGCCCCTGTGGATGTCTGAGGCAGCCTCACCTACACAGCCTCGGTGAGCCCTGGAGCCTGCGTGGGCTGGATATGCAGCATCTGTGGCCCTGTTGCCTGGTCATGGGGGGCTGGGACAGGGGCGTGGAAGGCCCCAGAAGGTTGGCTCTGCTCTCTTGAACCCCAACTTCTCTTCTGCTAGAATGTACACAGTAGAGCCAGACAGTGGGGAGAACCCTGCAGGTAGGGAAAAGGCCTGGAAGGAAAGCCAAGCTAGCAGCCCCGGGGACAACGGGCAAGGGGGCATTAGGACATTTATCTACAGAGGGACAACTGGACCCAGCCGGGAAGCAGCCACAGACCATCGCGCAGGAAGAGAAGACCAGATGCAGAGAGGGGCAGCCATTGACCTAGCAGCCAAGGGGAACGCGCAAGCGCACTGTCACGCACATGTGCACTGTCACGCACAGGTGCACTCACACGTGTACACTCACACAGGTGCAGTCACATGCACCAACACAGACACACGTGCATTCATGCACATGGTGCACTCCCGTTCGTGCCTACACGCACACCAACTCACTCTCACATAGAGGCAGGTTCTACTCTCAGGAAGTTGGCTTTGGTTCTGGAGGATCAAGCCCCCCAGGCCACACCTCTCCATGAGGCCTTTCTCCAGACGCTTCCTAGAGACCCAGGCTGTGTGTCCCATGACCGGCACCTGGTGGCCTACAAAGTCTCAGGAGCTGGATGCTTCTTGGCAAGGCCGAGATGGCGTCAGGCTTTGGGTGGAGGGCAGAGAAGCCACAGGTCTGGGGGTGGGCAAGGAGTGGGGATGGGAAAGGGGACTGAACAGCTAGCTCTCCACCATGGCACCCACAGTCTGACCACTCCTGTCTCCCCAGACCTCAAAGTAGATGGAGGCAGGATCATGGACAGGCAGAGGCCCTGGGGTGGCATCAGGAAGCACGGACACTGGGAGTCAGCCAGGGGGAGCGGGGCCCCAAGGGGAGAGTGCCCTGGGGGACATGGCACTTGGGGCAAGGAAGCATGCAGGATGGGAATTCTCTGTGTGACATACCTGGGCCTCCCTGGGGTATTGGGAGAGTTGCTGCAGAAGAAAGGGCCTGTCCAAATGGTGCTGTCCCCACCCTAGCCTGTGTGTGACCCAGACCAGCCCTATGGGGAAGAGCCAGATGAGGGAGTGGACTATCCTTCCAGAGGGTATGGGCATGGGGTGCGGTTGATGGCCTGCAGGAAACACTGGCCAGACGCTGGCCTCCCGCCCAGGGCAGCAGGTGGGCCTCCAGAATGACTCAGAAGCGGGTGCTCTGGTAGCGCAGCCGCCGAAGGTCCGCAAGGCCCTCAGTCCTGCCATACACCTCCCTGCAGGGACTCTCGGCCAGTCACCGGGCCCCCGCCCCACCGCCCCCACCACTGCTGCCGCTGCCGCTGCTGCCGCTGCTGGAGCTCCCACTGCTGCACCGGTCCTCATAGATGGAGATCTCGATCTGGGGCAGCGTTAAGGAGGGCTGCTGGCTGCTGGATGGGGCCTCTGCTGGAGGCCAGCTGGAGAGCGGAGGGCAGAGCGGCCCTGCTTCCTAGACAGTAAGAATGCAGAGTCCTGGGGAGCCAGACCCCAAGACCCATGGCACGCACACAACGCAGTTACGGGGACTTACAGGGCCGGGCACTGTGCAGGTGCCCAGCCAGCATCAGGAGCTCACATTCTAGTCTCTAATTACTGAATCCCAGGACATCACGTGCCCGGGATGTGGTGTCATTATACAGGACATGCAAGGCCTTTTGTGTCCTGAGTTCAGATTCCGCCTCGCTCACTCTAGAGCTATGTGACCTTAGACCAGTCAATTCACTTGTTACCTGTCAGTTACCGCATCTGTAACATGGGGATAATAATAGAATCATGGGATTGTTGTGAGACTTCAGTAGCACGTGCTGGTGCCTGGCACATGGTACCAGCTCAGTAATAAAAAGCGCCTCTTGCTGGGCTTCGTAAGCATGAGATTTTGGTATTCGTGTTTTGTTTTGTTTTTTTCATCTTTCTTCTCAATTTTCTAGTGAAATTTACTTTTTAAGTATTCTATCCTTGCTGCTGCTGCTGACTGGGGTAGAGAGTGTGCACGCTTCACCAGGTGGAGTGAGCAGGCCTCTACCTTAGCCTTGGCCAGCCTCCCCCGCACCCCCCCACCTCATTTTTCTCACCTGTGCAGGGGGGACAACAGGACCCACCACACAGGATTAAGGAGATTTATATGAGATTGTGGACATGTAAACATAAGTGGAGATTTGCATATTCCTTCAGAGGCAGTACAGCCTCCTAGTTAAGAGTGGGCCTGGGCTCAAAGCTGTGAGCTAGTGATTTAAAGGTAGTGTGCTCATCTGTTGTATAAAGGGAAACAATAACTGTTACCTAATTATAGGGGTGTTATGAGAATTACATGGATCCATAGTTTCAACACACCTAATATGATATCTGGCTTGTACTAAGCACTGAATACATGCAGCTCAATAAATAAAAGCCAACCCTGAAATTCACAAGCAGCACTAATAACTTATGGTGGGGGAGGAGGGCTGGTGACCAGACATGTGGGGAATCCCAGGAAAACCCTGAGCAGAGGCCCCAAGGGTGGTCCTGTCTCCTGGCAGCCTCACCACGGACCCCACTGGCTGGCAGCCCGGGGCCCCACCCCACCTCTCCACACAGAACAGACAGGAAGGATACAACCCTCATCCCACGCTCAACAGGGTCTGTGAGCAGGAGGCCTCGGGGGGCAAAGATCTTCTCATTCTGCTCTTGGATGTAGCGGGAGATCTTCTTGAGAACCTGCCAGGACAGGGGCCAATTGAGGATGAGCGTGCAGCCTGGAGGCCTGGGGAAGGGGACGCAGGGCAGCAAGGGAGGGCGTACCTTCTCGTAGTGGGTCTCCATGCAGAGGAAGATGAAGTAGGCCGTGGCGCAGGCCAGGCAGCCCTCCAGGTAGGAGCTGCCCCCAATCTTCTCAGCCTCCGCATAGAAGCTGTTGAGGGTCTTCACAGTCTCCTCAAAGAGCTGCCGCTCAATCTAGAGGGAGAGGAGGACAGGGAGCCAGGCCAAGGTCAGCCTCCCTGGAGTGTGAACAGTCACCTGTTGGGGGCGGGGGAAAGTGATAGGACCACACCAGGGGTGGGGTCAGCAAACAGGCAAGACCAGAGAGGCCTCAGGTGCCCATGGAGCAGAAAGGACACTGGACCAGGAGTCAGGAGAAATGGGGTTGAGACCTGGCCATCAACTAGCTATGTGACCTCAGACTAATGACTTAACTACTCTAGCCTAAGTTTCCACATCTGTAAAATGGGAGTAAGAATGGCTACTTGGCCTCCCTTAGAAACATGAAACTTCTATGATGTCCTAAATGTGAATGTAATTGTTTTCTACAGTGGGATTAGGCAAGAATTCCGGTGACTATGTCTTCCCAATACCACCCATGTTTCAATGGCTGTGAGAGAGCTCAGAGCCCAGCTGTCAGGGGCTCTCCACGTTTGGATGGGACTTCAACTGCATGAGATTGATTGGGTGAGACCTCAGGGTGTCCTCCCAGGAGGGGGCACTTCCTTCTAGACAAGAGTTTGTGGAGAACACAACAGCCCCGTGTGTTTAGAAAACTGGGTGGCTATCCTGGCTGCATCCATAATCATAATAGCTAATATTTACTGAGCACTTTCTATGTGCTGGGCCTTTTTTTACATATTTCATTTAACCCTCATAACAATTCCATCAGAGAAGTCTGACTATCATCCCCTTTCACAAGTGAGGACTCATGAAGCTCTGCTCTATGGTCCAGGCAACTATCATCTCTGGTCTCCTAAATGGTCTCCCTGCCCCTAGCCCAGCAAGCCTGTTAAAGTCAGATCATGTTACAGCTCTGATCAAGAGCTTCCCAAGTCTTCCCATCTACCTCCTAGTAAGGTCCAGGAAGTTCTTACAACGCCTGGCCCTGTGTCCCCACTGAGCCCATCCCCTACTCTCCGCCTCGCTCTGACCCCACTTTAGGCACACTGACCACGCCACTGCTGTTTCCTGAAAATGCCACATCCCCTAACTTCATGTTTCACCTTATACAACACGCCACCTCCAACCATTCCTATCCTCTGCTCTCTCTGTCTACCTTGACCTCCCCCTGATTTTTCTAGTATTTGTCACCACCTGACTGACTGACTATATATTTACTTGTTTGTTTTTTCTATTTTTTATACACTCTAATAGAAAATAAACTCCATGAGTTGCTCCTATATCCCCAGTGTCTATTGCAAAGGAGATGCTCCATAAACGCTTGCTGAATGCTGAGTGGACTTGTCCAAGGTTACGCAGTTCTGACCCAGGTCTGTGCTCTTCATGGGACAGCCTCTGCAACCTTACACTGGACAGCCTGGATTGGAAGGTCATGCTTCAAATCCAGCAGGTGCCAAAGTGTCTGTCACCCGTTTGTACATTCTTCAGAGCACCCTGCTCCCCACTCACTCCCACAGGACCAGAACTGCCCGTCACACAGGTTAGGGACTTCCCAGCCTGTGTAGAACAAAATCCCTCCCCACAAAGAATCAGAAGCTTTGGCGTTCCCGGCCACCATCCCTACACAGACCTAGAGTGAACACGTAGAGAAAATTCTGCCATTCGGCCCCTGACCTAAGGCCTGTGCTCTACCCCAGGGGTCACTCCCCCGCAAAGGACAGGTGTGCTAAGATGAGGAGACCCATGTGGCTCCCCCAAAGCTGGTTAGAAGGTCAGATCAGCAGAAGCCATGCCTGCCCCACCTTCCCAGACACATTTAGATCTGCCTGGGCTGCTGAGAGAAAGGCTTGGGGTCTGCCCTCTGCCCTCCCCCAAACCCAGGCCAGCTCCATGGCAACCTGGGAGGGAGGCTACTAGGAGCCCCCAGAACTAGGAGCAAAACTCAGCAGAAAGAGCTGATGCCTTGCAAGGGGCCGGCAGCCCATGAGACACACAGGAAGCTGAGTCTGGACGGAGGTGCTGGGAGAAAAGGCCTTGGATGATGGCCAGGGCATCAGGATTTCTAAGGCTCCCCAGAAAACAACTGATGTGGCATTGAGAACGCTGCCAGAAAGTGGGGGCTCCTGAACCCAGGCCAAAAAACTGGGCCAGCATCGCTGATAACAACCTAATATCATCCAACAAGACTCAGAAATTTGTTTAACAAGTTCTCCAGGTGATTCTCGTGCGATTGAAACTGGAGAGCTGCTGGGCTAGAAAACATCTGAGGTTTCTTCAGTTCCAGCTGTCAACGAGGCAACAGCAGGACCGTGTTAAGGATGTTTTTAATTCTTCCATGTGAAGTGGCTGAACAAGTGAAATATACTTGAATAGTCCCCTCGGCTGCATCGTGGCCTGTGTTCCAGGTTTAAAAGACGACAATGATATAACCATATTATTTTCTTCATTAGCCTGTTGATGTGGTGGATTACATTAATTGATTTTTGAATGTTGAACCATCTATGCGTACCTGGGATAAATCCCATTTGCTGTGTATACATTTTTATACAGTGTTGGTTTTAATTTGGTAATATTTTATTGAAGATTTTTGCATCTATGTTCATGAGAGATATTGGTCTATAGTTTTCTGGCCTTATAGAATAAGTGAAGAATTATTCCCTCTGTTTTGTGTCTTCTGAAAAAAATTGTAGATAATAGGTATAATTTCCTTACATGTTTGGTGGAATTCATCAGTGAACCCATCTGAGCCTGATGCTTTCTCTTTTGTAAAGTTGTAAATTATTGATTCAATTTCTTTAATATATATAAGCCATTAAGATTGTCTGTTTGTGTTACTTAATAAAAAAACAATCCCACAGCCAAAAAAAAAAAAGAAAAAAAAAGAGGACATCCTTACCCGGCTGTCCAGCTCTGGGGGGAATTTGGTCTGGAACTGGCAGATGGTCCCATCACTGTAGTCTCTCTGGATAAAGACCTTGGTGGCCAGCGACGCACTTCGCCGGAGCTCCTGCAGATTGTGCACCTGACGAGACATAGAGATTGACATGTCATTGCGGTGACCATCCTTAAGGGTTTGTCGGAGACTCAGGGTTTGCGGGGATGTGGGTCTTTCAAAGCTAAAATCAGGAAAGCTTCTAGCAAACCGTGAAAAGTTGGCCACCCTACATGTGCCCCAGGAAGGTCATGAGGACACAGGACTGTAGAGTTTACCCCAGGAGACGCCACGAGCGATCCCAGAAAAGTCTAGAAAAAGCCTGAAGCAGAGCCAAAGCTGAGCCAAAGTTGAACCAAAACAAGGGGTTCTGGAAAGATCAACAGAGTCAGAAAGACATTTTAACTTAAGGAAAAGTCTTCCTGGTGGCTGGTGCGAATCCTTCTCTCTCTCTCTGCCTCTTTCCCTCCACTCCACTGCCCAACACCCCCCCCCCACACACACACACACGGTGGGACCTTCCATGCTTTCATCCATTTAGCAAGTATCAAACGTTCACAACCTGTCAGCCTTTAGCTTAGGGAACCCAGCCTGAACAAGACTGAAATCTCAAACCCTGAGTGGAGCTTACAGCAGGGCTGGAAGAAGGGAGAGTGGGGAGAGGGGGGAGCAGAGAAGTACCTGCTGTGCCTATGAACTCAGGGGGAGATTCGGATTCAGGCCAAGTTATGGCCCGGCTCGGAGAGCACCATGAATGGTTTTTATGCCAAGCACTTCTCACCATAAGAGACCCACACATGTCTAAGCCCCCAGAGAAAACTGTGGATAAAGCGGGCTAAAGCCAGACATGGAAGAAATTCCCCGCCCTGATAGGGAGGAGTAGGGCAACTCCTGTCCCCTGTCCACACAGCTGCAGACTTAAAATCGACACAGACTCCAGTGTTTGAGGGGGGTGGGCTCAATTCCACAGAAGAACAGGGCCTCTTTCTTCCACTTCCAGCCTCACTCATCCACGTTCTAGACAAGCAACCCACTGGGTGAAATATGCCAGACATTAGAACCACGCGGAGACCAAGCCCCAAAGGCAGAGTGAACACACAGCCAGTTCATTCTGTGTAATTAAGGTGAATCCATTCAGTCTCTCAGCTTTCATTTATTGAGTCCCTACTATTGCCAGCTGTAGGGATGCCGAGCAGAAGACATTCTGTGAGCTCCAGGGAGGAAGACAAGTAAATATATAATGAATTTGACTGTGATAAATGTCACAGAGAAGTAACATCTTACCCAGAAGCACTGACTCAGAAAGGCTTCCTGAGGTCTCTGTTGAGTCATAAAGGAAGGCCAGGAGTTGCCAGTGGCAGGAGCAAGGGCAGCCAGGTCAGGGAGGGAATAAGAGGGAGGAAGAGGCAACACAGACAGAGGGAGAAACTTGTGCAAACTAATAAAGACAGCAGAGAAGGCAGTCTACTCAAATGACTGGAGGCAGATTTCAGCAAGAATGGAGTTGGTTTGCAAATCAGATAAGAACACTGGGAATAACAGAGAGGAGAATCAGATCAAAAACTACTGGAGGGTTGGTTCCTAGAGGAGAGGATTTAAGATAGAAAAAAGCTGCTTAAAAGCTAGGGAAAGAATAAGTAATGAAAGCAAGATTGTCAATATGGTAGCAGGAGCAGATACTTGGTAGAATGAGGTCCTGAAAAGATACAAATCAGAGAATGACCACTATACTAGACCTTCCTAAATCCAGGTGAACCTTGCTCTGCCTAAGAGATGCAATCCCCAAGTGTTGTGTTTGGATTAAATAATGCCATGATTTCAACCGTTTTCATCTCATGGCACACATAAACTAATTACTAAAATTCTGGCAGCACACTATGGTACGTCTTGCAGCACAGTGGTTGAAAATTGCTGAAATAATGTGTAAGTGCTCCTCTAGTTTTAATAGTTCTTGATCCCGCTAGTCCAAGGTTTCAATTGAGATAGTCCTTTTAACCCCTATTAGGATCCAATGATAACTTTGTAAAATAAAGAATGTTTTGCTAATATAAATAAGTTATTCATCATTGTGTCTGCTCTGTTCAGTTAAAGTTTTATACTGCTTTATTTTCAAAAGAAAAAGGAAGGAGCTGTGGCCTTCCTCTGCCCTTCTAAACCAACTGCCATGAGCCAGGCCATGTTGAGGACAGATTCCCCCAGCCCCAGGAGGGTAATGCTGGCGACTTTGGGAATGGTGCACAGGAAGTGAGCAAGACTAGGGTGTGGGGCTAGATGGAGGGATGACTATCTTTGCAGTAGTCCATGGGAAATTGAAAGTGGATCTAATTCCAGAAAAAAGTGATGGTGAGAATGGAAAAAAAAAAAAAAGGAAAGAGCAGTGCTTCAGCCATTCAGACAGGGACTCAGCTCCCTCCCCTCCAAAATCTTTTGTCTGAATTCACACACGCGCCCTGTGAGCTACCATGAAGGTATGTGTCTCAATGACTGGCTAGCCGTTGACCACAGCCACCTCTTCTTCCTCCTAGACACACGGCTCAATTAATTCTCAGCCTCCCTTGCAGTTAGGTGTGACCATATGGCTAAACGAAATGTGAGTGGAAGTGACAGATGTCATTTATAGCCTTGGCTCATAAGGACCAGCCACTCCTCTGTGACCTTTCCCCTTCCACAGAAAGCAAGGGAGACGTGTTGAGGATGGGGAACCACAAGCTGAAAAGAGCTTGGGTCCCTGAATCACGGCCTGGAGGAGATACACCTGCTCGCTCATCAGGAACACCTGTCTGGGACCTTGCTGAGTGGGAAACATCTATTACATTATGCCATTAAGATTTTAGGGTGCTACCTTACATAATGCAGTGCTATTTACTTTTGGCTTTTACTCACGGGTTCTCTAATAGCCACCATGGGAAAGGTCAACACCCTTACCAACCCTAACAATATCCTGAGCCTTAAGGACATTATCCTGACTCTGGGTGACCAGGGATCTCCTCTCCTCCCTGGACAGTGTTTGTGGAGCCTTGAGGAGCTGCTAGACGACGGGATCACAGATGTACTTTACATGCCAGAACGTTTGTTTCCCAGGCGTACGTAGAGCACACCCATGTCACAGACTCTTCTGTCTTTAGCAAAGAGGAGGATTTATGGCATGGCAGACCTCAGGCTCTCTCCACCCCTGGTGGCCCAGTTGTGAAGTACCAACAGCTCTGATGGAAAGACGGACCACTGACCGAGGAGCAGGAAACCTGGGGCTAGGCTTGACCACGGGACCCTGCAATCTTCCCTTCTCTGCGCCTCCACTTCTTCAACTAGAAACTGAAGAGGTTGGAAGTTTGTAATTGGTAAAGCCCTTCCCAGCTCTGACATTCTAGAGGCCTCATCAAGGATTATGAATTCAAATGTTTACAGGGACTAAGCATGGAAGTAGGGCAGGTGGGGACTGTGGCTAATTAGAGAACGCGTGTCCTGTCTCGAGAACACACCAGGTTGTTGCCATGTGAGAATGTGTGCCCAGGTTGTGATTCTGATTTTTAAAGAAAAGCCATAAATCCAGATTTCCTTACTATCAAATATCCTGATTTTTAAATGTTCCCAGTAAGTTTTCTTTATATTTATAAGCACTAAGCAGACCGCATAAGGCACACCTGTGAACCGGATTCCTTCCCAGAGCTGCCAGTTCAGGACTTCTGAATAAGGACTCCCATGGCAGGTGCCCAGCCACTTGCCAGCTACTTAGCTTTTGAGAGGCTGGAAGGAGTTTTCAGCCAAGCTCATGATGCTCTGGAATCCCACAAGAGGGTCCCAGAACATGCACACACACTCCCGGAGGTCACAGCTTCTGCGTCTCCCCTGGGCGGTCCCCCCTGAGCACTGACCCAGACACCTGGGCTTCTCATCTGCCCCTCCCCTTCCTTACCCCTCCCCTCTCTCCCAGCCCTATCCCCTGGCCAGCTGGCAGCAGAGTAAGGACAGGACCAAGGGGCAGTGCAAAAAGAAGGAGAACACCAATGGTGAGACCTGCTGGTACCTACTTTCAAACTGCAGTGTGAAAAGGGCGAGGGGACTGCCTGGAAAGTCGGTACCCCAGGTCAAACATCCAGGGCCTGTACACCCAACAGAGCTAACCTGGCTGAGGGGAGCAGAAGCAAGCACTGGAGTGCAGATGAGCAGTCTCAGGCCTGGTCTGCCCTAGACACACAGGAGGCCCCCTCTGGCCCACATCTCTATCCTCGTTAAAAACAGCTAATTCCAGAGGATGCTTTTGAGACTCAATTTGTGAATCAAGAGATGCAGCTGATGAGCCAACGTCGTGCTCTCTCTGCCTGGCCAGACTGTGGAGGAGGAGTAAGGATTGTGAGTCACAGGCAGCCAAGTCAGGCCTCGGGATAGAAACCTGGGCACAGGGCCTCCCTGCTTCTCAGACAACTGCAGAGCCCAAGCGTGGTCCTTTGTCTGTGGTTGTTACCTCCCTGCCGCAGGGATCAAACCTCCCAATACCTTGCTTGCATAGTGCCACTTGGATGCATTTTAAAATCTCCTAGGTGCCAAACTCCTCCTCTTGGAGAAGCCTTTGCCAGCTGGGCTTTTCCTAGCTGTCCTTGGCCATCCGGGCAGACCCTGCTCCCAGTGACACACATTCACTGGGAGGTTTGTTGCTCAGGAAATGGGCTCATTACAGTTTTCCAAATGAGGTCAGTGTATCACTCAGGAGGCTTCTCCTTCCTCTGAGTTCCTTACACATACCCCTCCCCTAATGCTGACTCCTAAACAGAAATTAGGAAGCAAAAAGGACCCAGCTTCCTGCCTTCCATCCAGGGATCCAGAAACACCCAATCTGTCTTAATTCTCTCTTGATCTCTCCCACTGTCCTCTCCCTCCCTCTCTTTCCTTTCCTCCCTTCTCCTCTCTTTCCCCTCTCCTCCCGTCAAAGCATCTTCTGCTGGAGCTAAGGACTTCACATTCGGAATCCTAAGGGAATGGCCACAGGAGTGCAGCATGAGGTTTTCCTTCTCCCAACAGGTTTTTCCTGGTAATCTTAATTCATTCCTAACATTAAAAACAGCCTGGGGAGAATGACTCACTCTGCAGCCCAGAGAATGCGCACGTCCTGTGCCTTGGCAGAGCTGAGGCTTCCTCCCTCCATGCTGCCATCAGAGTCCACCCAAGGCAAAATTGGGAACTGGGCCACATTGGTCCTCAGCTCCCCATCCCTTCTGAGCATCCTCTGTCCTCTTGCTGACCCCGCCAGGCCAATCTGTACACTCCAGCCATTCCTGAACTCCTTTACACCCCTCCCCCTTCAAAACTTCATGTCAAGACCTCCAGAGCTGTCCTCTCTATTGCACAACACAACCGGCTAATTGATACACCTGAATACAGCCAGAAAAAATCACTGGCCAGGAAGGCAAAAGACTCAAGTTCTAGTCCTAGCCCCGCTAATTTTTAGCCTTTTTTTTTTTTTTATAAGTCTCAGCACTCCAGTTACATCATCTGTAAAATGAGATAATGATGCCTTCCTTGGTTCCTTCACAGGGCAAGCTTCTGAGCCTCAGTTGTCTCATCTGTTAATTGTGGATAATAATACCATCCTTGCCCACTTCACAGGGTTGCTCTAAGACTCAAAGGAAATCACACATGTGAGAGTGCTTTGAACATAGGAAGGTGCTAGATTCACAGAAGTGTGATGAGCAGAGCCTCTCCCTGGGCAGAGTCACACATGCCTAACAGCAGCCTCTTGGAAACACTGCCTCAGCCTAGAGATGTGAGCTTCCTGGTTGGAATCTGGGCACCTGAGGGCACCTTAGGACACCTGAGAGGGAGACATGCTGGGACAGATGGGCCCCTTGGAATCTGCCAGATCACATCACAAATGTAGCTGCCTTTTCTGTCCACTCCGCTAGCCCAGCTGTGCCCACGTGGCTGAAGTTTCCTTCCTGCCTAACACCGGCGGCCTCTGCTGCAGTCCGGCAGCCCTGTCTGGAAGGTGACCAGCTCCTTGGCCATCTCTCCTTTGTTCTTTCTCCTCTTCCCCGTGTCTTTGGCACTCCCTGAGCACTCTGCATCCCTCCACCCTAGAAACCAAGCTCCACGGGTCTGCTCAGGACTTGCCCCTCCCAGGGAGCTAGGGACAAGCTCTCCTAGCTAACACTGTGCTTGTAGAAAGCCCAGTGATGCCAAGCAGCTGCACGTTGTTCTGCGGTGGCGATAGCAGCAGAATAACAACAATAACACTTAGTATTGATGTCACACTGCTCACTAGGATGCCCAGAGGCACAGAATCATTCAAAAGCCTCCGCTGTCTCCATGGCTTATGTTCCAGCTGTGTTGTAAATGGGGAGACACCGCAAAAGAAGTCAACATCAGAACTGGGGAGACACTGGTGTTCTGGGTTCCACTCAAAAAATTCAAAGAAAATCACTGGCCAGGAAGGCAAAAGACTCAAGTTCTAGTCCTAGCTTTCAGCTCTGCTGCTGACATGTTATGTGACTATCAAGTAGGTCCTCCCCTTCTCCATGTGTTAGCTTTACCACTTATTAAGTAGGAACATAAAGAGCTCCATTTCCCTCATGAAATGAGGAGGTAGAGAAGACAATTCCTGATCTGTTAAGCACTGCATGTAGATTCTACCCTTAGCCAACAGGTCCCTTGGTTCTGCTTTTAAGTCCCTTGAAGGTGACACATCTATAGGTACACCTTGAAGAAGGTAGCTCCTCCCATCAGACACAGGAGAAACATGGACACCTTGGTACAGGAAACTCTAGCGGGGTGAAAAGCAAGTAAGGGCGCAAAAGCAGGGCTCAGTGTAGGCAGCTCATTAAAACCAACCATTGGGGCTTAGGCTGAGGATTCATGGTCTTCCCCTGGTCCCTGCAGGAAATGCTGATGTGGAGGTGGGTCTGTCATCCCTTAGCCAGGTTTGGGGGCTCAGAAGCGGGGTGGATGCACACATAGCAACAGCAGCCAGCTGCATGCCCTCTCCTCGGCTCACCTCCAACCCTCCAGGGAAGTGGTTTCAGGACTTGCAGTCTAGGGGAAAGGGAAACCCCAGCTGAAGCCCAGGAGTGACCCTGGCGCTCGTGCCAACAAGTGGCAAGGACAGCTTCACGACTCAGATGGGGAGACTGACACGCCAGGGGTGAGATGATCTCTCAGCGAGGAGACTTGCTCCTCCACTGCCGTTGCACCACCCACCTTTCCCCTCCGGACCAGACCGGGGAACCACCCCGTCCACCCTACCCGACTCCACTCCACCCCACCTCCCCTCCCCGCACCCCCGTCATCCTTCCCCGCCCAGCAGCCGGGCACAGGTGCTCGCCCCCTACCTCGGTGGCCATGTTCTGGGGGCGCTGACCGCTGCAAGCCGGCTGAGGGGCTGGTCACGGGGGGCTGTCAGCGGCGCTGACGCGGGCCGGAAGCCTCTGCGCTGTCCGTGGTGCTGATGGGGACGCCTCCGGCCCCGGCCCCGGCCCCGGCCCCGGCGCGGGTGGGCAGGCGGCCCAGCGGGCCCCTGAGTCCCGGGTCCGGCCGCTGTGCTGTCCGCGGTACTGACGCGGGCGAGGCGAGGCCGCGCCCGAGGCTGTTCACCGCCGGGTCGGTCGCCGGCTGCCGCCGCTCCTGCAAGCAACGGCCGGGTTTCTGTTCGACAGCGGCGTCGGCGGCGGGGGAGGAGGGGCCAGGCGCCTCCGCGGACCGGGAGGGGGAAGCGGCGGCCCCCAGACTCCCGCGCCGGGCCGCCCCGCCCGCGGCCAGAGGCTCCGCTCGCACCGCCCGCCCGAGGCCCCGCCTCTCCTGCCCGCCCCGCCCCCAATGAGAGCGCGGCGAGCCCTGCGCTCGCTCCGCTCCGGCGGCGGCCTCCCGGGACTGGCGGACGCCGGCCGATGAGTAGGGGACCGCACAGTGCTGGGGACAGACGCGGGGGACGCGGGGGACGCGGGGGACGCGGGGGACGCGGGGGACGCGGGGGACGCGGGGGACGCGGGGGACGCGGGGGACGCGGGGGACCTTCGGCCGTTCGTCCTCGAATCCTCACCTTTCCCACGCCCCGCCCCCTCTAGCCCCTCCCCCACCGAGGCCCTGCAGCCTCCACGGGGTTGCGTTCTTTTTCGGAGCCGGGGTCTCCCCACCGCGCTTCCCAGCCTGGCCCCGCCCCTCTGGCTCTCTCCTCTGCATTCCCAGAGTTGGCACACACTGCACCGCCGCTCAAAACCATGCGCTGGCGGTGCCAAACCGGTCCGGCCACTCCTCAAGGATGACAGGTCTGGCCCTGGTGCTGCCTTCACATTTTCGACATCACGCCTTCCAACCAGATGAGCTCTTTGCTTCGTAAACAAAAAGGAAACACCAACACAGGTGCCTCTTTGCACACCTGTAATACCCCTAGTGTCTTTAAGGGGAAGCTGGGCGTGTTCCCCTGCCGCTCACTGCTGCCTCAGGGTCGGCAGCAGCAACCACGCACAGCGAGGGATGGGCGCCAGGACAACTGGGTTTTGACTCACGCTTCGCCAGCTGTGTGGCCTGAGGCAAATGCTTCACATTTGAACTTTTTTCTGTAAAACGTGTTGGGCTAAACTAGACTATTCCTAGGGTTCACTTTTTCTGGTCCTTCAACCTTGTAGTTTGAAATTTTCAAACATCAGAAAAGTTGAAATACAATAAACTGTACTGTCACCTAGCTTCAACAGTTAACACTTCACCATATTGCTTGATACACATAGAAACAGAGGATATTTGACTAGATTACTAGACAGTGACAGTGTGAGGCTTTATTCTTACATCACCAAGATGCCTTATTCTTAGGCATCTCCTAAGAATAAGGGCTTTCTCCTACCTAATCACATTATTACCATCCTTTTAAAGATTTCATATTATCTAACATTCTAGGATAGATTATTGCCCCTAAGACACATTAATAGCAATCACCCATCCTTCAGAACTTCCCCTAAGACTCTTCATTTTTAATAGCTAACATGAACCGAGCACTTACTATGTGCCAAACCATATGCTAAGAACTTTAAGTGTATTATCATATGTAATCCTCAGTTATTCTTTGAGTTAAACAAATTGTTGAATTATGAGTTATTTAATAAGTAAATGAATTATTCAATAATACATAATTAAATGAATTCTTATTCTTTGACTATTCCTACTTTACAAAGGAGGAAACTGAGTAAGTTGCCCATGGTCAGGTGGCATATGAAGAACGGAGGCAAGATTCACACATAGGCAGTCAAGCGCCAGGCCCTGTGAGGTGGACCCTCCTGATGGGACTGCCTCCCTCCAGCACCTTGCAGACCACAAACTAGCAGAGCAGGAACCACATCTCCAACTGCCTGTTTCACAGATGAACACACTGAGTCCCCAAGGATAAGCAACAGGCCAAAGTAGTTTTTGTGTCTGACAAATTATTTGGCATCAGGGAGCAACCTGAAAATAACTGAATCTCATGGTGGTCACTGGTAAGAAATAAATGCATAATCTTATCTTCTCTCTATGTATAACTTGCTCAGTTCCTTACACTGAATTTTGATTATATTTATTAGACAATCATCTGGAAACCATTCAATTCACCTGATGGCAAGAGACCTGGATGAGTTTATTCAACAAATCCATTCAGTCAGCATATTTTTCAGATTCTTACTATGCATCAGGCACTCTTCTAGGAGCTTAGGATACAGCAACGACTAAATGCACAGACTGTTCTTATTGAACTTACATACTAATGGGGTTAACAACAGATTAGCAAATTGTATAAAATTTGTCCATGTATGATCATTGCTAGGAAGAAAATAAAGCATAAAACAGAGTGTGTGAAAGAGAGAGGGAGGGAGGGAAGGAGGGACAGAGGTAGGGAAAGAAGAGGGGTTATTCTAGAAAGGATAGCCAAAGCTTTTTTGATAAGGTGAAATTTGGACAGAGGACTGGAGGAAGTGAGAGAACTTATTGTACAGATACCAGACGAAAGGACGATAAGGATTAGAAGGCAGAGTACAGGGCCCTGAGGCAGGAGTGGGTTTAGCATCTTCAAAGAATTGCTAGACTAATGTGAGCAAGGGGAAGAGAGATGGGAGCTGAGATCACAGAGATAGCAGAAGCCAGGTCTTAAAGGGCTTGTCAGCCCTGATAAGGACCTAGGATTTTATTCAGCAAAGGAGATACCTGGCAAGCCTTAGAAGATTTAAAGTAAAGGCGTGGCATTATCTAATCGCTTTGGATTTTTTTTGTTTGTTTGTTTGTTTAAAGATTACTCTGGGTGCTAGGGTTGGGGAAGGCTAGGACAGAAGCAGTGAGACCCATTAGGAGGCTGATAGGCAAGACATGGTGGAGACCTAGACTAGGGTGGAGGTGGTGAGAGGCAGCCATGCTCTAGATATGATGTGAAGGGAACACTGACAAGATCTGTGGATAGATTGGGAGTGTTTTATGAAAGAGAGTCAAAGATGATTCTAAGTTTTTGAAATCTGAGCCACCGAAAGGAAGAGTTGCCATTTACTGAGCAGGGAAGACTAAGGGCTGAGTAGGGATGGAGAATACAGAGTTTTAGATGTGTTTAGTTGATTTAGGTTTGAAGTTTAATGTGCACATTTTGCATCTAAGTAGAGTAGGTATTTAAGGTTAAAGAGAGAGAGAAGGTTGGAAATATAATTTCAGGACTCATCACTATGCGGATGAAATTTAAAACCATGGGATTCAATGAGATGCGTATAGCTAGAAAAATTATCGAAGAACTGATCCTGGGCACTTTGTTACTTACAGGTTGAGGAGGCAAAAGGAGACTGAAAGGATGGCCAGTAAAGTAGGAGGAGACCCAAGAGAGAGTGGTGTCCTAAAGCCAAGCCAGACACCTGGTAACAGAGCCTTACCAGCTGTGCTACATGCTCCTCACATGGCAGACAAAGATGAGGACCGAGAAATGACCATTGAACTTGGCAGTGTCGACAAAAGAACGTCCAGCCTAAGAAAAAGTCTCATAAGAGTTTGATGGCAATTGCAGGGAAGCAAAAATCTCAATTGAGAGAATGCTCTGGAGAATGGCAGTTTTGTGGCTTATTTTATACATTAGAATCAAAGGAGGAAACCTAAGAAGGATTACATGAAATTTATTGGTGGTAGGTTAAGGAGGCAAGAAAGAGCAAAGCAGGGAAATCTCTGAGACTGGATAGAAAGCAATATAGGGAGACACATGCTTCTTTTACATTGGTGGGAATAGAATAGTTAACATTTACAGTACAGAGAGATGGTATGTGGACAACAAGATAACATGGTCTCATGCTGTGCCTTCAAGGGGTCTGGAAAAGAAAATTACTCTGATATTTCAAAGGCATGTTATCTTAGATGCACGAAGACAATAGACAATTTCAAAAGTAAAGACTGGCCTTTGTCAAGGTAGCTACAGGCCTAGGAAGTAACTACCCACCATGACCCACTTTAGGTAGGGATCTTTATGTTTGGACCACACCGTGTGGTTATTTTCCATCTCTGGGTTTGTAAGGCCGCCATGCAAACCTCCCCTGAGCTTGCCCAGTTTAGTATGTGGCCCCTTTTCCAACTACAGCAGCAGCAAGGTCCCTGGTGATCCCGATGAGAGCTGTTTTAGTGGAGAAAGAGAATGAGATCTTCATTACAGAAGGTTTGATTTAGAATGAAGGAGAGGAAGCAGAGATATTGAGAGTGTGGACAACTCTGTAGAGGCATTTTGCTGTAAAAGGAGCAGAGTAGCATGGCAGCTTGAGGGAGAAGTAAGAGCCAGGCAGGCTCTCTTAAGATGGGAGACATCAGAGCTTGTATGTATGCTGATAGGAATAATCGAGTGTCGAGGGAAACATCGATAGGTCGGAAGAGGGCGAGACTCAGGGCAAACATGGAGGGGATGGCTTTGGAGAGAAGCACAATTTTCCATCATGATACCATGGAAGAAGCAGAATAAGTGGCCAGAGATATGAGTTAGGAGGTTTTGCAGCATAAGCAAAGACCTGAGCGCTCTCTGCTCCTTACTCCACTTCAACTAGCCAGAGACTTCTTGCATCATGACCTTCCTCGATAAGTACATTCAACCTATATGAAAAGCTTGCTATGTGCCAAACAGGGTGCCAGCACTTTCCTGGATAGCCCCAAAGAGTGTCCTCCTGCTTGTAATTGAAATTACAAGTCTAAGACTCAAGAGAAAACCTTGAGATCATCTGCACAAGGATGAATGGCCCCTTTTAATATCCAGCACCTCCTACTGGCAAAAGCTCTTTATCACTACATCGCCTCCAGGGTTGCTATAATAATCCCAACAAAGTGGAGGCCGGCAGAAAGGCCCACGTGTAGGGCAGGGCGAGTTTCCGGCCCTGCTGCCCCGAGGCCGTGACAGGACGCTGCAGGATGGGACGTTCCCACGCTCCAGTCGCTGGGACTTTAACTTTTTAGGCAGGAGGAGATGTTGAGATTTAATCTGACTAATCATTATTACCC